CCACAGACCTTTATCTACAGATCAAGTATAAAATACGGGGTATTGAATCATATCAGAGTGACTTTCCCCATTGCTGACTATCGTAACAGAACAAGACATGCTGTTTAAATCCTGAATGGAGGATGGCTGAGAAACAGTTTCTGAAGAGTAAATATGAATCTGTCCAACAGCTATTGAATGGCATCGGAAGACTTGGAACATAGTGCACAAAAACATTTCAGGAGCTTTACTATGCTTTTTTGCCTTTTGCGGAGCTTAACAGTAACAACCATGAGTACACAAAGTATTAGATTTGGAGCTGATATAGCCTACTGAATATTATATACATGTTTCATTTGAGTTTCAGGATATTTTCTACCCAGTTCATGGAAAGTGCCCTGTACTTTATTTCTTTTGACTTTAAATGTTATTTCACAGCTCTATAGCTTTTCTTTTACTACAACCACAAAATCTGTTGAACTGCTTGAAGTTTTATAATCTTAATGATCTTCAGCTTTACTAATGAAGAATGAAGAATCAAGAATAAACACCAACCTCTTTGTTCTTCAGTATCTTCATGTTCCGTCCTGCAGGATTCTGGATCACTCATGTTCTCACTGTTCTCCATCTTCACTTGTAGACTGATGGGAATAATCCAGCATTTATTGGTGAACTGCTGTGGGAGGAGCTTCACTGAATCACTGTGTGGTAGGAGGAGCAGATCTGCCAAAATCAAAAATAAATGATCAAATTTGTTTTCACAATTTTACACATTGTATGCATTTATGTTCATCTATCAAAATGTGCATTTGTACAAGACATGTAGAAAAACATGAATAAATACCAGAATTAAAATAATCCAAATATAAAGAGAATGTAAGAATATAAATACAGTGGGATAAACTCATTCTGAAATGAATAGATTAATAAGCAACATATAACACATTTAGATGAATTTTTATTAACTGTTTTTTTTTTTTTGCAGTCGTTTTTACATAAAACTTGGTTTATCACAGACTAACAGAATAAATTGTAGATTTCAAAAGTGGTGATTATGCAGTTCGTCTCAGTCTGTTGACACCAGTGAAATGAGCTTTAAGTGGCAGTTTACAGGTGATTGAAGACATCAGCATAATGAATGAGCTGAAAACTATTAAACTATAGACATTCAAAATAGAGTTTTTTTTAGCAGCTGTTAATAGTGACACGAGCTTTACAGGATCATCAGCAGAGATCTGACTTTATTTGAGTCAGGATATGCTGAACTACTAAAAAACTCTCTGTCAGTAGGCTATATTGTTTCTCACAATCTGAGAGTATAAAACATCAGTAATACAAAAAAACAACAACATCAAAACAAATACAAATGACATCTTTGCAGTAGTTTTTTTCTTTTCTGCCTCTTTTATAAATAACTAGCCTACCCTAACAGCGGGATAAAATGTTAAATTTAATTTGATTTTCCAATAACTACATTAGCAATAAAGAAATTAGATCATTAATTGTTTAGTAGCAACATGAAATGTGAAATGGGTATTCAATTTCATTTTAACAATGTAAAGTAGGGTAACTAAAGCGTATTTTATGATTGTGTAAATATAGAAAGCACTGTAAACTTCTAATCTTATTTCAGAAGAGTCAATGCGGTGCACATTATAGACATCTTCAGTAAACACAAAACACTTACATTTTTCACAAAACAGACACAAGCAAACACTATACAAATGTTATAATGCAGCAAAAGCAAGAATCAAGGCTTCATCGGGACAGCGTGAATTATGATATCATTTGGTTTGTTGGTCCGTTCTGGTTGCTTTCACACCTCAGGTGAACAGGTCCCAACCGTTTAAGAGTTTGTTTGCAATCGGTCCGAGAACACCTCGTTCAGGAGGTTTTGGGGCGATTGTTTTGGCATGGATCCAAGCGTGTCAGCTTGGAAAAAAAATGGTATAAGGAGTATTTTCATTCCTCTTATAAATCACCATTGTCTCTTATTGTCTGCAATTTTCTGAGCCTTTTTAGTTTTTATACACTGCAGTGATGGAAATAGTTACAAATAAAATCTCTTTTGGAAAAAACGGTTTTGTCTTCATACATAGATTTCTGAATAAAGGTTTTGCCATAATCAACATTACATTTATCTTTGTCATTTATCTTTATGCAATTAGTGTGCTGCCCTTGCAATGCGATCTCTTGTGCAAAGCTAGACAGCCAGTGAACATTCAAAAGTCCTCCAATAAACACACAAGGCTTGACTTTTATTGTATTTTACTGAAGTTGTTTCCTCTTGTTGTTTTGTTTTGTAAAACTGAAACATTACAGGATAAGAATATAAATCAGTACACAAAATATGAACATATGCATACATATAAGTATAATTCCTATCAAAGTGTAAAATTAAGCACTGTAGCCTAATGAATACAACAAGCAATGTAGCCTACTGTATGAAAACACAGTTCACCTACAACTCACAAAAAAATTAAATAGCAGAGCTAGCTACAACTACTGCTAGCTAACAGAGCACATGTTTACCAAAACATAAAAACGTTTCTAACATGACATTCCTTACCAATGCAAGTCTTGAAAATGATTTACACATTACTTACAGGCACATGGTCTCCAAGGCAGAAGCGTATCAGAAATAAATACAGCAACATCAATCCAGCACTGTCTTTCTTGCCTGTCAACTGAAGAGCTCTCTGAGTTCAACTGAACTGAAGAGAGTGCTTCACTGAATTATTAACTCTGACCAGTAGAGGGCAGCACCCCGCAAGAACTACTGAAATTTAACTTAATGTATTTAATATTTTAACTTTTTAAGCTCACCTTTTTTTACTTTTTCCAACGAATAACTTATTTAACCCATCTTTAAAGACAGCACAATTAGATTATGACGTCATCGCACGCCTTGTAGCCCGCGCGCCCGTGATGTGCTTCATTCAAAGTAAATACGACGAAGACATCACTGCAGCGCTCGTGCTCATTCTTTATCTATCTTTTCATACTTCTTTACAGGTAACTAATACTTCGTTTTGAGTAAAAACATTCTTTAATCCAATACGGATGAGTTGTGTGTGTTCAAAGTGCTTTGTTTTTATTAAATGAATAGTGTGTCATGAGTTTGGTATGCCTAAGCACATGGTTAGCATGGGTGTTTCGCGATTAGCTCGTCAGCCCGCTATACACGAGAGAGGGCCATTTATGTCAATAATATTTGAGTATTTAAAAGTTCATGATGTTATTTCAGTTTTTGAGTTATTTTAAACTTGCAAATTTGGGAAATTAACTCCATGTATGTAAATTGAGTTATGCATTGCATTAGTCTTTATCAGTCTTGTATATGACTTTAAAGTTTATGGTAGAAAATATATCAGAGACAATGGATGGAACATTGTTTAGACAAAAGATATTAATTTCATACTGTCATTTAGTGGCTAAGAGTAAACATTCAGTCTGAAAATGTGTAGTAGGAATATGAGATTAGAGTGTCAGTTGTAAATGCCACACGTTATGAGAAATGCTTGAAGTCACTTTTGTTTACAGCCAGTCATTATACTGTGAAAAGTAAAGTGATACATGCACTGATAATATAATGTACTGAGTATTTGTTATACATGTATGCTTTTATTAATTCATTCAAAGTAAATACACGACGATGAAGCCATCACTGCAGCGCTCGTTATCTTTTGTTTATCTTTTCATACTTCTTTACAGGGGATAGTGAATAGTCGTGGCAAAAAATTATAGTAAAAAAAATAATAATTATCGGTCCTATGAATAAGGTGTAATTGCATCTGAATGGCGAGATAATTGTAGGTGTGAGCGGGGCACAAACTAATGCAGGGCTAGTTATAACACACTTGTTTTAAATACCTCCACACACGCCAGCATGACAAAACGCGCATTTACTAATTGCTATATCAACACTCTAGAGAAAAGAATTGCGCCAAAATGTAGAAATCTTTGGGAGATAGCCTATCACTGAACATTTATTTAACCATTGCAAAACTGTATTATGTTCATTCATGTTTAGATATTATTTTAATCTTATATTGGTTATTGAGCAGTTAAGATAGTTAATGCTGATTTAACCAGCAGAAGACATAGCCGGGTTTAAATCCCAGTTTGCGCAGAATTTACTCGAGCACCAAAATAAAAAAACTCCCCACACCAAAAATTCCATTTTGAAAATCTAACACTAAAGACTCACTAGATCATAATGCCCTGAAATAGCATTAAACCAGAAGATGACCTCATTATCAAATTGGAAATAGTTCCCTCACAAAACGATTTAAACATGAACCGTCAAACACAACTTTCAATTTTCAAGAATTCAATGAGAACACATAATACTCAAAATACGATTCGTTAGCATCAAATGTAGAAAAAAGAAAGGCTCAACAGCAGAGGGTGGCGAGTCGTGCTTCCCCTCGTGAAGATCGGGGACCGGCTCGTCGCTCTTAGCAGCCTCACAATAGACCTAAAGAAAAAGTCTTAAGGTTTTCTGAAATTTGTTCTGATTCTTCGTCAGCTCTCAAAAGTATATCTGCATTATTTTATAGATTGAAAACAGAGGGTATAACTGTACTTTTGTTGGATACAGACACATGTTGGGATAACAGGGAATTAAGCTGGTAATGAGTAAGCAACAAAAAAAGCATTAAGAAGTTTGGTGGATATTAAAGTACTCCTATCCTCTGCGGTGGATGAGGGACTACATTCCAACACATTCTCATGAAAGAATACAATGCAGATACGTCACCCATGCAAGAGAGAGAAAGATATGTAATAGGTGGCAGTTTTTAGCTTTTTTAACAGTTTTAGCTTAAGAAACAACATTTATTGGGCAGTTCATGTCTGATTTATATGGAATGTTATTGCTCAACATGTTATTGAGTCACGTTTGATGAGGGCGCAGGGCACACGTTTGCAGTTGAAAGAGCTGGATCTGAAGATGAATTCAAACATTATATCATGATTTCAGACATTTGTTTTTTGTATGATAGAGTAGAGAAGTTGAATGAGTGAAACTCTTGCCACATGGAATGCAGTGATACGGTTTCTCTCCAGTGTGGATCCTCTCATGTGATTTCAGGTTTCCTAACTGAATGAAAGTCTTGTCACAGTGTGAACACTTGTGAGGTTTTTCTCCAGTGTGGATCCTCTCATGTGATTTCAAGTGTCCTAAATTAATGAAAGTCTTGTCACAGTGTGAACACTTGTAAGGTTTTTCTCCAGTGTGGATCCGCTTATGTCTTGTCAGAGATGATGACTGACTGAATCTCTTGTCACAGTGTGAACACTTGAAAGGTTTTTCTCCAGTGTGAATTCTCTGGTGCAGTTTTAGTTCATAATCTATGATAAAGGTCTTCCCACAATCGAAGCACATATGATTCTTCACACCACTGTGTCTTTCCTGGTGTAGTTTTAAAACACTCGGCTTACTAAAACTCTTTCCACACAAAGAACAAACATGCGGCTTCTCCTTTGTATGAACTTTCATGTGCTTCTTCAGGTATTCTGCCCTAACAAAGGTTTTACCACACTGATCACAGATAAATGGTCTTTCTCCGGAATGAGAATAAAGATGTGATTTAAAAGCGCTTACATGTTTGAAATTCATCCCACACTGATCACATATGTACGGCTTCTCTCCAGTGTGGATATTCATGTGATCATTAAAGTGTCCTTTCTGTGTGAAACTCTTCCCGCACTGATCACATGTGTGTGGCTTCTCTCCAGTGTGGATTTTCATGTGTTCCTTAAGGGTTCCTTTCTGTGTGAAACTCTTCCCACACTGATCACATGTGTACGGCTTCTCTCCAGTGTGGATTTTCATGTGATCCTTAAGGTTTCCTTTCTGTGTGAAACTCTTCCCACACTGATCACATGTGTGCAGCTTCTCTCCGGTGTGGATTTTCATGTGACGTTTAAGACTTTGTTTGCATGAGAAACTCTTTCCACACTGAGAGCAGGTGAAAGATTTGTTTGATGTTCTTTTCAGTAAAAAAAATATTTTAGTCTGTGAGTGTTTATTTCCTTTTTTGACATTATGATGTTTCTCCTCCGCTTCACTCAGTTCTTCGCTCTCCTCTTTCTCCTCCAGCAAGTCTAAAATGAAAGCAAAAACATTTTCTGTAAATTATAAAAACATCAAAGAGAGAATGTGAAGGGGAAAAGTGAACACTGATGTAACAGCAGAAAGTAGACAAATGTACAAAAAGTACAACAAAAAAACACAAAAGTTGTAACTGGGCACAGATAACAGTGCGAGTCCAGATCTCTTCTTCTGTTTTTAAAATCTGTAAAATGCACCAGTTATGCATGTGCACCCCTCACTATAAATGAGGATCATTTACACTAAATTTGCATTCATGTTACCTATTCAAAAAAAAAAAAAAAAAAAAAAAAACTTTTGAAATGTTATGGTTATTTCTAGAAATTCTAACATGGTTGCTTTCTTTTTTTCTAACATGGTTGCAAAAATTGTGAACCAGATATAAAATGTAAAATAAAACCACTTGGATAGTATTTAGTTAGAGTCCCTGGTGTTGACAACTAGGGATGCACCGATACCATTTTTTCATAACCCATCCGATGTTCCAAATTCTTAGTATCGGCTGATACCGATCTGATACCGATCCAAAACCATTGCTGTTTTTTTTCTTGATCATTGTATGTAGAATATCTATACCTCTCTTTGTGTGGAATTGGTTACTAAACACATTGCACTAAATACACACACTAATTAATAAGAGAATTATAGAGAAAAACAAAAAATGGCAAAAAAAATTATCAATCTACAACAACACAAAATATATGATAAAGGAGAGTTGATAATTCAGAAGCAAAAAAATTGGTGCACAGTAATTTTATAAAATCGAAACATTTAGTGAAATGCTAAATTTAGTGAGGAAAAAGTGACCATAAGTGTAGTGGAAATCAGGTTAAATGTTAAAACATAACTTAAAAATAGCTATTTGTATTCTTATAAAATACATTCATGAAAAATGTATATTACATTAAAGGGATACTCCACCGTCTTCATATTAAACTATGTTATTCCCTTAACTAAGACGAGTTGATACATACCTCTCTCGTCTCAGTGCGTGCACTCAATCGCTCTGGCGCGCGAGACACTTTGATAGCACTTAACTAGCCCAGTTCATTCAATATGGGCCAAGCAGAGAAGCGACCAAACACCTCCACGTTTTCCCTATTTAAATAGTTACACGAGTAGTGTAACTCGACCTAGGATGGTGACACAAAATAAAACGTTGTGCTTTTCTAAGTGTGTAAAGTGGATAATATTGTATGGCGGAATACCATAGCAAGTGCTTGGGAGCACTTTGACTCGGCGCATATATATCTATGGACTCGGCGCAGTAATATCATCACTCCGGAGAGTAAGAGGGGGAGAGGACTTTTCACAAGTGATGATATTACTGCGCCGAGTCGAAGTGCTCCCAAGCACTTGCTGTGATATTCCGCCATAGAATATAGTTATCCATTTTACACGCTTAGAAAAGCGCAACATTTTATTTTGTGTCTAAGAATATGCGTCAAAACCGCCGCCATCTTGGAACAGGTGTCTTGTCATAGAAAAGTAGCTAGGTAACGCTGCTATCTCCGCCTGTACTTCGAATTCATGGATTTTCGGACTTTTGTGCTGCATATGAATGTTCACACGAACGAAATCTGAACTAGAAAGATTGTTTTAAAAAAAAAAATTGTTTTATTTGTATTTTCTCTGGACTCTGGATAAACACATGTCTGACCATTGGAACGAACCAAAAAACTAGAAAATCGCATTCATGACGATTTATTGTAATTTTATTTCTGTTAGACCTTTACCTACATTGACGCTGATGCATTGAAGAGGAGGGGCTCCCCTGTTCCACGATGTCGGCTCTATTGACGCATTTGTTCCAATGAACTGCCGTAGCCAAGTGTATATATACACTCACCGGCCACTTTATTAGGTACACCTGTCCAACTGCTCGTTAACACTTAATTTCTAAGCAGCCAATCACATGGCGGCAACTCAGTGCATTTAGGCATGTAGACATGGTCAAGACAATCTCCTGCAGTTCAAACCGAGCATCAGTATGGGGAAGAAAGTTGATTTGAGTGACTTTGAATGTGGCATGATTGTTGGTGCCAGAAGGGCTGGTCTGAGTATTTCAGAAACTGCTAATCTACTGGGATTTTCACGCACAACCATCTCTAGGGTTTACAGAGAATGGTCCGAAAAAGAAAAAACATCCAGTGAGCGGCAGTTCTGTGGGCGGAAATGCCTTGTTGATGCCAGAGGTCAGAGGAGAATGGCCAGACTGGTTCGAGCTGATAGAAGGGCAACAGTGACTGAAATAACCACTCGTTACAACCGAGGTATGCAGCAAAGCATTTGTGAAGCCACAACACGCACAACCTTGAGGCGGATGGGCTACAACAGCAGAAGACTCACCGGGTACCACTCATCTCCACTACAAATAGGAAAAAGAGGCTACAATTTGCAAGAGCTCACCAAAATTGAACAGTTGAAGACTGGAAAAATGTTGCCTGGTCTGATGAGTCTCGATTTCTGTTGAGACATTCAGATGTTAGAGTCAGAATTTGGCGTAAACAGAATGAGAACATGGAACCATCATGCCTTGTTACCACTGTGCAGGCTGGTGGTGGTGGTGTAATGGTGTGGGGGATGTTTTCCTGGCACACTTTAGGCCCCTTAGTGCCAATTGGGCATCGTTTAAATGCCACGGCCTACCTGAGCATTGTTTCTGACCATGTCCATCCCTTTATGGCCACCATGTACCCATCCTCTGATGGCTACTTCCACCATGTCACAAAGCTCTAATCATTTCAAATTGGTTTCTTGAACATGACAATGAGTTCACTGTACTAAAATGGCCTCCACAGTCACCAGATCTCAACCCAATAGAGCATCTTTGGGATGTGGTGGAACGGGAGATTCGCATCATGGATGTGCAGCCGACAAATCTGCGGCAACTGTGTGATGCCATCATGTCAATATGGACCAAAGTCCCTGAGGAATGCTCCCAGCACCTTGTTGAATCTATGCCACGAAGAATTGAGGCAGTTCTGAAGGCAAAAGGGGGTCCAACCCGTTACTAGCATGGGGTACCTAATAAAGTGGCCGGTGAGTGTATATATCTAGTGTATATATCTATGTGCCCCAAGCAGCACACGAAACGGGTATTTTTCTCAATTCTCATATATGGATTGGCCAGAAGGTGGGCGGGGTTAGGATTTCCCAAGATTTTCTGAAGAGGGGGATCAAAAAGAGGGGCAGAAGAGGGGCATCAAAAATGCCAAACACCACTACAAAGGGAAGGTAGAAGAACACTTCTCCAACTCCAACCCCCGACGAATGTGGCAAGGACTCACTCCAGATCATCACGGACTACAGGACCATCAAACCCTCTCCCACATCCTCTGATGTCTCCTTCCTCAACGAGCTCAACAACTTTTATGCTAGTTTTGAGCGGGGGAATCCAACAACTGCGACTAAGGCAGTGGTGACGTCAGACCACCTACCACTGACTCTCTCCCCCACTGATGTAGGAGCGGTCCTGAGCAGGATTAATGTCCACAAGGCTGCAGGTCCTGATGGCATCCCTGGGCGTGTTCTCAAAGCTTGTTCTGGGGAGCTGGCAGGGGTGCTGACGGACATATTCAATCTGTCCTTGGCCCATGCTGTGGTACCGGCCTGCTTCAAATCCACCTCCATCGTTCCAATACCCAAAAACTCCAACCCATCAAGCCTTAACAACTACCGCCCGGTAGCCCTCACCCCAATCATCAAGTGCTTAGAGCGGCTGTTCCTAGCACACCTCAAATCCTGTCTGAAAAGGGCTGGGAAAATCATCAAAGACCCCAGTCACCCAGCACACAGACTCTTCACCCTCCTGCCCTCTGGGAGGCGCTACAGGAGCCTCAGGACTAAGACCACCAGGTACCGGAACAGCTTCTTTCCTACAGCTGTCAGACTCTTGAATTCTGCCTCCTGACATCTCACCCACATTAAAACTTTTGGACTGAACATATATATCATTACTATATAATTTATCCATATATATCTCACTTTTTAACTGCCCTACTGTAAATACTATATAGACAATCATACTGTATAATACAATACAATAATTATAGTTCTATAGCTGTTTATTAATACTTGTATATTTATAGTCTGTTATAGCCTTTTATATTTATAACCATTTTGTAATATATCTACTAGTGCTGTCAAACGATTAAAATATTTAATCACGATTCATCATATTAATGTCATAGTTAACTCCCGATTAATCGCAATTAATCGCACATTTTTATCTATTCTAAATGTCTCTTGATTTCTGTTTGTCCCATTCTTTTTTCTCATTTTAATGCTCTTATCAACATGGAAAAGTAGATCGGCTTGCTTTGTGCAAATGTTTTTTTTTATTGAAAACAACATTGACAATACTGTGTTCAATTTCACACTAACATTCTCACTTGGAGCAAATAATCTCTCACACAATGTAACACTGTCCATCAATAAAAGGGTGAAAGAAATACTGACGAGGTCCTGATATTGACGAGGGGGCGGAGAATTCGCATCAGCTGTGTGTGTGCTTGGCCATCATCAAGTGGTATTTCAGACTGGACGTGCTGCGATGATGATAGCTCAGTTCACAATGACAGAACACACAGATCACTTTTGTCTTGTCAATGGAACCATTTGGCAACTTTTTAAAAGTAAACTTTCCATTCAGAATCTTATTGGCATCCATTTCGGCGTCTCGCGCTCGTCATCCACTCAAAACGTAACGTTAACCAACTATTTGGCCGGCTCGCAAGCCCAAAAAAGTGTGTGCGGTGTCGTGCCTTTTGTTTTGTTTCCGGTCTTGCTAGATCCGCTTGCAACGTCCTCGCGCAAGCCATTGAAATGAATGGGTTTCATAGCGCAGCCCCGCGCATGCCCTGTCCTGTTGCAAAAGCATGTGAAAAAAAAACTACAAAGTTTGCTTGACCAAAAAGACCGTTAAATATAAATCACACGATAAAAATTTAACGCCGTTAAAATGGGTTTGCGTTAATGCCGTTAATAACGCGTTTAACTGAGAGCCCTAATATCTACATTTTTGCTAAAGCACTTCTGGATGGATGCAATTGCATTTTGTTGCTTGTACTTCAATTCAATTCAATTCAATTTTCCAAGATGGCACCGCCCATACCCCCCATTAACGGCCTCAAAACCGTTCTTCGGAAAGTCTATGGGTGACGTCACAGACGCTTTGTCCATATTTTTTACAGTCTATGGTTTTACCGTGCTGACTGTCGTAATAGAATATGACATGCTGTTTAAAGGCTGAATGGAGGATGGCTGAGAAAGAGTTTCCACACGTAAGTTTAAAATATTCTAACTGATTCCCCTGTGAGTTTTTCTAGGCGACTGTTATTTAGAACCTGTCACTTTGTTTCCATGGTGACACGTCATTGCTTGTCACGTGTCACAGCGCAACCATAACACAGCGCTGGATGAATGATGATCTGCATTTTTGTAATTTTTCCTTTTTTATTCAAACTATTCACAAATGTATTAGCTATAACATGAAACGCTGATATTCTTATTTTCAAATATGTGCAAGTGGGTGTGTTTTGTTGTTTAAACACCTTTATAACGATAGCATTAGTTGAGCGAACATGGGCGGCGCCATGTTAGTTTACAACGCGGCAATTCCTCCACTTCTCACGAAATACATGAAAGTAAGTGGCCGGTGAACTGGGAGAAGAATAGGGTAAAATGTAAAGCTACTTATACAATGTGTATCTGATATGAATAAAACGTGTCGTCTTATTATAATGGAAAGGATTATTATTGCCGCTTCCATAGACATCAGTGTGTATTTTACAAACTCAGAATATATTTATATAGAACTTATGTGTATTTAAATGTCTGAAACCTAAAATAAACATTATGTGATTGAAAACACTGAATAGTTGTGATATATCACAGCACTGACCGCGTCTGTCTCTGGCTCAGCGCCAGCCAACGGCGAAACCAAAGCACGTTTGAATTTAGCAGTTGATCACGTGATGCACTGACCGTTCTAATCACACCGGTGAGATCGTACGCGCGAAAGGGTTAAGACAGAGTATATATTAATCTGTCCAACACTATAAGCTATTGAATGGCATCAGAAGACTTGGAACATAGTCCACAAAACATTTCAGGAGCTTTACTATGCTTTTTTGCCTTTTGTGGAGCTTAACAGTAACAACCATGAAGTATTAGATTTGGAGCTGATACTGAATATTGGATCAGTGCATCCCTATTGACAACCAATATAAATGTTTCATTTGAATTTCAGGATATTTTCTACTCAGTTCATGGAAAGTGTCCTGTACGTATTTATTTTAACTTTAAATATGTTGTTTCACAGCTTTTAGTTTTTCTTTCTTTCTTTTACTACAACCACAAAATCTGTTGAACTGCTTGAAGTTTTAACCTTAATGATCTTCAGCTTTACTAATGAAGAATCAAGAATAAACACCAACCTCTTTGTTCTTCAGTATCTTCATGTTCCGTCCTGCAGGATTCTGGATCACTCATGTTCTCACTGTTCTCCATCTTCACTTGTAGACTGATGGGAATAATCCAGCATTTATTGGTGAACTGCTGTGGGAGGAGCTTCACTGAATCACTGTGTGGTAGGAGGAGCAGATCTGCCAAAATCAAAACTAAATTATATAAGATTGAGGTTTTCACCCAATCACAAATTGTATGACTTTATGTTTTATGTTCATCTATCAAAATGTAAAGTTACTGAATTAGTTTTTTAAAACAATTTCACATTTTATGCATTTATGTTTGTCAGTGAATTAATCTATTTTTAACATTTTTATATTATTTATATGTATTTAGATATATTATTTTATATATATAAATATAGCCTATATATATATCAAATACAGCAAAATAAATGATCATATTTGTTTTCACAATTTTACACATTGTATGCATTTATGTTCATCTATCAAAATGTAAAGTTGTACAAGACATGTAGACATTAGAAAAATGTGAATAAATACCAGAGTTAAAACAATCCAAATATAAAGAAAATGTAAGAATATAATCAACGGATTCAGAAATTAATCTACAGATTAATAAGAAACAAATAACACATTTAGATGAATGTTTATTTGATTTTTATTCTGTAGTTGTTTTTACATAAAACATGGTTTATCACAGACTAACAGAATAAATTGTAGATTTCAAAAGTGGTGATTATGCAGTTCGTCTCAGTCTGTTGACACCAGTGAAATGAGCTTTAAGTGGCAGTTTACAGGTGATTGAAGACATCAGCATAATGAATGAGCTGAAAACTATTAAACTATAGACATTCAAAATAGAGTTTTTTTAGCAGCTGTTAATAGTGACACTCCTGACACAAGCTTTACAGGATCATCAGCAGAGATATGACTTTATTTGAGTCAGGATATTACTTTCGCCTACTACCCCTCCTGGGGCATAGGCCGCCAACAAGGGATCTCCAGGCATCTCTGTCCTGGGCCATTTTTTCCAGCTGACTCCAGGTCTTTCCCATGCTCTTTGTGTCTGCCTCCAAGTCTCGGCGCCAGGTATTTCTCGGTCGACCTCTGTTTCGCTTTCCTTGCGGATTCCATTTTAAGGCTTGTCTGGTGGTGTTTGTCGCTGGCTTACGTAAGGTGTGTCCAATCCATCCCCAACATCGCTTTCTGATTTCCTCTTCTGCGGGTAGCTGGTTTGTTTTTTGCCAGAGTTCGCTATTGCTGATGGTCTCTGGCCAGTGGATGCGGAGTATCTTTCGCAGGCAGCTATTGATGAACACCTGTACTTTCTTGGTGATGGTTACCATGGTCCTCCATGTTTCTGCTCCATAGAGGAGAACTGCCTTGACATTTGAATTAAAAAGTTTTATTTTGGTCTTGACGGACAGTTCCTTGGAGCTCCAGATGTTCCGGAGTTGTATGAATGCTGCGCGCGCCTTTCCGATACGAGCCTTAACATCCACGTCAGTGCCCCCCTGTTTGTTGATGACACTGCCTAGGTAGATAAAGGCCTCGACCTCTTCCAGGGCTTCTCCATCAAGTGTAACTGGGGTGTTGCTGTTCGCATTTATCTTGAGGATCTTGCTCTTTCCCTTGTGTATGCTGAGGCCTACTCTCACTGAGGCAGCTGCTACGTTGTTCGTCTTCTCCTGCATCTGCTGTTGGGTGTGTGACAATAGGGCCAAGTCGTCGGCAAAGTCCAGGTCATCCAGCTGATTCCAGAGCGTCCACTGGATCCCGTGCTTTCTGTGGGCTGTTGAGGTCTTCATGATCCAGTCGATCGCTAGAAGGAAGAGAAACGGTGACAGCAAACAGCCTTGCCTGACGCCGGTCCGCACTTGGAATGCTTCTGTGAGCTGTCCTCCATGGATGACCTTGCAGGTCAGTCCCTCGTATGAGTTTCTGATGATGCTGACGATCTTTGCAGGCACACCATAATGCCGGAGGAGCTTCCAGAGGATTTCGCGGTCCACACTGTCGAAGGCTTTTTCGTAATCAACAAAGTTGATGCACAGGGGTGAGTTCCATTCTATCGACTGCTCAACTATAATACGCAGCGTCGCGATCTGATCAATGCAGGATCTATCCTTGCGAAAGCCGGCCTGCTGGTCACGAAGTTGGGCGTCGACGGGGTCCTTCATCCTGTTCAGCAGGACTCTGTTGAAGACTTTGCCTGGTACTGATACCAGTGTGATTCCTCTGTAGTTCGTGCAGTTGCTAAGGTCACCTTTCTTTGGAAGCTTTACGAGGTATCCCTCTTTCCATTCTGCAGGCACTTGTTCTTCCTCCCAAATTTTCTCAAAAAGTGGGTAGAGCATCTCAACCGTTGTTTCTATGTCTGCTTTCAGCGCCTCTGCTGGGATGTTGTCTGGACCCGCTGCTTTTCCATTTCTAAGCTGTTTGATGGCCTTCCTTATTTCTTCTTTAGTTGGTACTTCACAGTCTATCGGCAGATCTGCGTTCGCTGGTTTTATGTCAGGTGGGTTTTGTGGTGTTGGCCTGTTCAAAAGTTCCTCGAAGTGCTCTACCCATCTGTTCCTTTGCTGCTCATCTCCCATAATTGGCCTTCCGTTCTTATCCTTCACTGGTCTTTCCGGTCTGCTGTACTTCCCTGCTAACTTCTTGGTGGTGTCATACAGTTCTTTCATGTTGTTCTCTCTCGCTGCTTCCTCTGCTGATGTTGCCAGGTCATCAATGTACTTCCTCTTGTCTGCTCTAATGCTCTTCTTCGTCTGCTTGTTTGCTTCTGTATACTCTGCTTGTGCCTTGGCCTTCTCTGCTCGCGTGCGACTGTTGTTTACAGCCATCTTCTTTTCCTTCCTCTCCTTGATCTTTTTCAGACTGTCTGCAGAGATCCACTCTTTATGCTGGTGTTTCTTTGTGCCAAGCACTTCCTGGCATGTCCCTATCACTGCTTCTTTTAACGTGTCCCACCTCTTTTCAAGACTACTGTCATCTTCTTCCAACATGTCTTGCAGAGCTTGGAATTTGTTGCTGAGGGTCACTTTAAACTCGTATTGCTTACTTGCATCTCTCAGGAGAGCTGTGTTGAACTTTTGTCTTGATGATTTCGCCGCCATCCAGTTTTTCTTTAACTTTAGCTTCAGCCTGGCCACCACCAAGTGGTGGTCCGAAGCCACGTCTGCTCCCCTCTTCACTCGCACATCCTGCAAGGACCTTCTAAACTTCTTGTTTATGCAGATGTGGTCAATCTGATTCTCCGTTTTGTGGTCCGGCGACATCCAGGTGGCTTTGTGAATGTTCTTGTGGGGGAATACGCTGCCACCAATGACTAAGTTGTTTAATGCACACAGGTCTGCTAATCTCTCACCGTTTTCGTTCATGTCCCCAAGTCCATGGCACCCCATGATGCCTTCATACCCCGTGTTGTCCCTCCCAATCTTGGCGTTTAGGTCCCCCATCAGTATTGTGACGTCTCTCTCTGGGTACTTCTCCACTATAGACTGTAGTCTATTATAGAACTGGTCCTTTGCATCTTCATCGCTGTCATTTGTGGGAGCGTAGCATTGTATTACGTTCATCTTTATCTTCTTTTTCTTGGTTCGGAAGGATGCTGTGATAATTCTTGATCCATGGGCTTCCCATCCTATCAGTGCTCTCTGTGCTTCCTTTGACAGCATCAGTGCTACTCCTTGGGTGTGGGGGGCATTTTCCTCTTCATGTCCGGAGTACAGCATCATCTCTCCTGACGATAGTCGCCTCTGTCCTGACTGTGTCCATCTAGTCTCGCTGACTCCAAGCAGGGTGAGCTTGAAGTTCTTCATTTCTGCTGCTACCTCAAAAGTCTTCCCTATCTCATACATAGTTCGTACGTTCCATGTTCCTATGTTTGTTGTCCTGGTATTAAGAAGGGTTGTCGGCCGTGCAGCTTCCAGAGACTTCCGGCTTTCACTACATGGCGTCATACTTCTTCTTGACGAAGTCCCATCTCCTCCCAGGGCTGAAATGTCCTGATCTCCTGTTGGCGTTTCTGTAGCTAGCGTTTTTTTTATAGGGTGGGGTAGCTAGCCCCACGCCCAACCCTCCTCCTTTTGCAGCCGGGCTTGGGACCGTCCTTGGCGGAGTTGAGTCAGGATATGCTGAACTAAAAAAAAAAAAAACCTCTCTGTCAGTAGGCTATATTGTTTCTCACAATCTGAGACGTATAAAACATCAGTAATACAAAAAAACAACAACATCAAAACAAATACAAATGACACCCATCTTTGCAGTCGTTTTTTTCTTTCTTTTTTTCTTCTTTTATGAATAATAGCCTACCCTAACAGCGGGATAAAATATTCAATTTGAACTTAAATTTAGTTTGATTTTCCAATAGCTACATTAGCAATAAAGAAATTAGAACATTCATTTCTCACAGACTCAGTATAAAATATTTAGTAGTAACTTGAAATGTAGAATGGGTATTCAATTTCATTTTAACAATGTAAAGTAGGGTAACTAAATCGTATTTTATGACTGTGTAAATATAGAAAGCACTGTAAACTTCTAATCTTATTTCAGAAGAGTGAGTCAACGTGGTGCACATAGACATCTTCAGTAAACAAAAAAACGTTTAAAACTTTTCACAAAACAAATTCATACATGCTCTCTCTGGGCACTACCCAGCCTGCGTGATACAGCACCAGGCCAACATGATCTCATGAAAGTGAGTAGGCTATCTATACCACAAATTATTATTATTATTATTATTATTTGCATGCATAGGCTATGCTACGCACTGAAAACCTTGGTTAGGATTAGGGGTGGGGAGTGTGTGCGTAGTGGCATACAGATCAGGGACGTGAAGAGAGTTCCTCAGTGGCAGGGGCTAAAATGTAAAAAAGGGGCATGTAGTATTATAAGTATAATAGTCTAATAGTATATAAGTAGCCAACCGGCCAAAAGTTTGGACACTGAACTATTTTTAATGTTTTTGAAAGAAGCCTTTTATACTCATCAAGGCTGCATATTATTTGATCTAAAATACAGAAAAAAAACAGTAATATTGTGAAATATTACTACAATTTGAACAAATTGTTTTCTATTATAATATACTTATAACCTTTGATACTTTTTTCAGAATTCTTAGTTCTTAAAAAAAGAACAGCATCTATTTAAAATATAAATATTTT